TCTCTAAAAAATTTTTTTTGATTGTAAAATTCTAAATTATAAATACTGCATTTTTTATGTACTCCTTACTTATTTGTATATACTATTGCATAAACTTATATAAGCATGCATATTCATACATGGTTAAGCATAAACATGCACGATTATATAAGAGTATATAAAAAAATACAAAATTTATTTGGTTTTTATAAACTAAACCAGTTTAAACTAAGTTTTTAAACTAGTTATTTAAAACTTCATAATTTGGTTAGTTTGGTTTTAACTACATATATCAGAGTTTAATCAAACTAAACCAAACAAACCCAAACTTCTCCATCCCTAATTTGAATGAACTTGATTCACATATAATCCTAATACTGTAATGGAGTATCAATTAACGATCTGAATCCATCAACCATCTCAACCACATGGGAGAATACATAGATGCACTCGATAGTCACTTTGGTGAAATTAGAAATTTTCTCGTTAAAAACATTGTGGTTATATTCGAAAAATAGTGATTAGTTTCAATACCACTCGATTCCTCGCTGAGACGAATTGAATGGCAATATCTCAAAGTTAGTGTACGAATTTGGTAAGCAAAACCTGTAATGGTAAAATGATAATTCGATTAGCCAGTGCAAAATTAGGTATTGCACCAGTTCTACAGATAGTGCAAAATTTTTGAGAGGTTTGTGTTTTTTATTACTCTAAAGTTTAATTTCAATAATTATTATTACCAAACTGACAATGACTAGAACGAATTAACTGGTGGAAAATACCAATTAATACTTTTAAAAAGTCCATAAAAAAATTAATTAGAATATTACGATTGTTCTGTGGTTTCTGTCACTTCTTTTTTATCTTTAGATTCAACCGATTGTGATGCAATCGACTCCCAAGTCTGTTTTGCTTGCTCTTTACTAATAGGGCCAAAAACAAAATTAAAGACTTCGTAATAATCAGCAACAGGAACACCTGTAAGGCCCTCCTTAATATTCTCAGGTAACTCTTCCCAATCGTTAGTATTAGCTTTTGGAAATATTATGGTAGACACACCAGATCTCTTAGCAGCTACCGTTTTTTCCCGAATTCCACCAACTCTTAAAACTTTACCAGTAAGCGTGAGTTCACCAGTCATTGCTATAGTTGGATCTAATGGTTTAGATAAGGCAAGCGAAAGGAGTGATGTTGTCATGGTAATACCAGCAGAAGGACCTATATATTGTTTTAAATAGTAACATGCATAAACATAAATTAAAATAAGTTAACTTGAATAATTTAACAGTAATAAATTACATACCATCCTTTGGAGTTGCACCTTCAGGTGCGTGAAGGTGAATTGAAGCCCTTTCAAAAAATTTATTTTCCGGATATAGTCGTGCCATTAAACTTTTAGCAAATGTATAAGCAATAGTAGTGGATTCCTTCATTACATCACCCAATTGACCAGTTTTAGAGAGAGATGGTTTTGAAGTTGTAGAAAGAATTGAATCAAGAGTAGATTCGACGTACAACGCAGAACCACCTAAATTTAATTTAAATAAAAATTTTTTAAAAAAATGTATTAAATAAACTTTTTTAGTAATAAAATAGTATGAATATACCCATGCTCGTCCAAGCCAATCCCATAACGACTCCAGGAGGAGTTTTATCATATAAACGATCTGAATGCCACAGTGGAGGTCCAACATAGTCCTTTAAATTTTCTGCGGTAATGCCAACATGAACATTGCTAGGTACAC